ATTGTTAAAAGGTGTTTTCATTTCTAGCTGTGCCCTAGAAAGCAATATTAAAGCTGAAGTGTATCATCTTTTGCCATGTTAAAATGTTTTCTTCTATCCTAGCTTTTTGTTTGTTAACGTTTAACACAATATAATATAAAATAGAAAAAATATATATTTTTAATTTAATATATACTCACATGGAATGAACTCTAGTAATCAAAAGCTGTTGTATTCTAAATGGAAAGGGTCACCTCATGGAAACCTCACATGGCCAGCTGAATACTACTTATTTTTATTTCTGTAATTCCTCTTATTGGAGACTTATAAACAATCATGACTGCAAACAGAGCATTTCTACAATAGCTTTGGTAACTGTAAATATAAGTTTTTTGTGTAATGCTACATGCTCGCCACTAGCTATAACAAATTGAGTACACCTTTTAAAATCAGCATGAAACGGAAATTACGGTTGTCTTTTCATCTTTACTGTGATGTGTATATCATAGCTTCTCAAACAAACAAAAAAACGTAGAGAACTTGATTTTATCCATCGGGAATGGATTGGATTGTTGAATTGTTGTCATTTGTTAATTGCTGCAATAATTATGTGATTGACAGGTTGTTTGGAGGGGTGGAATCATTGTTCCTCCCTCATGTGAGAAGAGATGTCTGTGAGGGGGAACGTTAATGTTTTTGATTAAATATTACAAAGGCACAGACAACCGCTAAATCAGAATTTTGATTTCCTGGTGACTTTTATATGCAGAGACACCTCAGCCATTGCACATTGATTGCCCTTAAAAGTGTAAACACTGAAGTGCTTTTAAAACTTTGCTTTATTTGTTTGAGAATCCTGACCAGCCCTGCACAGCAACATTGATTCAACCAATGGCGTGAGTTTGAGGGCGTGCTTATCTGATTGCTTGACCAATGCCAGGCAAAGGGAGTGTTTGAGAAACCGGTTTAAAAACAGTTAATTACATTGGTTGGAACAGTGGCACAGAAATGCATACACATCAGCTTTAAGTCTCTGAAATTGATCACACACACACACACA